CCAAGATCAGACATGTGGAGCTTTAAAACCTGGATTTAAGGACTTTGTTTTCTTGAACTGTATAGGTTTAGGGATTTTCATAAGGACTGGAGAACTGAAACTGCATCTGTAATGGAGATCATGGAGTCCAAAGAACTGTCAGTGCCAGACCTGGAAATATGATCTGTTCTTGATTAACAGCAGGGTGGAGCAAGTTGATTTCCAGTTTTTCTCCTTTGTAATGCATCTTACTGCTGCCATTTTAAGGTGTGAGGCACATTGCCAAATATATGGGGTTCGAAAGGAAGGAGTCTGAGGTTTGTTTTTATTTGCTAAAGTCTGTCTACTTGTAATCTAATAGAACACAGATATGTGATGGGATTTATACAGCTCAAATTTGTCTGATTTGCAGACAAAGCAGGAAACAGCTGGGATGAAAATGAGCTATAGGGAATTGTGAATTCCTCAGGGAAGATGCCTGGAGAAGAGTTTGTCTTCAGGTAGGGGTAGGTTATCAGAAAGAGGCTTTTTCCTCAAAGATGGGGTAGGAAAGAGTTCCCCTCTTACCCCAGGGCTTGGGGTTAGCATCTACACCAGAAACAATTCACTGGGTTAAGGAAGGCTGACAGTGCTTGTTGGACCATTTCACAAACCCTCAGAAAATGGGACCATTACCTTCAGTGTCACCCATAGGCACGACTGCTCAAACGACCTTTCCCACACAGTTTTCCCTGCTGAAAGGCCACTTCCCAGCAATTGCTGAATCATCAGCTCCAGTTTACTAGAAAAGCTGTTTGCTTAGCAGAAAATTCCCTGTGGCAATTTAAGTTCATGTCCTGAAAGGAGTTTTTATTCTCCCTTTTTCTCAGTTTTTTAAATAGACAGTGTTATGTCTCACATTTAAATTCTGGTAAACTGAGAGGTGGAATGGGTTTAAGCACAAATCTGGATGAGGCAGAACAATCCTCTCCATTATGCCAAGCATATGTGTGACCAAACTCTATCTCATCCAATGACATTTCCTAGATGGGGAAATTCCAGGGGCTGACTCACAACAGCCCTTCACCAGAAAGATTTCTCCCTGAACCATGCCTCCATTCAACCCATGGCTGCATAAATGCACACCCTATTCTGAGTGCAGCCTCTATTTCCTTATGACACAAAGGAATTTATCCTCTTTATAGTCGGGCAAATAAAAGGGAAAATAAAACTTAATTGTTCCAGAGTGAATATCTGCCTCTGGTATTCAGTTGCAAGATCAGAGATAATATAATTAATGTAGGTAATGGATGGATATGGAAAACAGACAGCTCTACAAACTCATTGTGTTGGTGGTCACTAATCAGTATTGTAGATTATTTGTCTCCAAAGTGTCTCTCTCTTAATGAATGGCTCACTGAGGACCACTCTTCACTACAAAGTCGGGTTAGTTATTTACAGTGGCAAAGTTCTGGTAGTGGAGATAGAAATTGTGCAGCCAAAATAATTATTTTCCTGGTAGTAAAACCACTTCCCTAATTGACATAAGATCTGCAGACAAAAGGGCTCTTTTGTGATAATGAGTTGCATCTGCACAGGGAGTTCTGACATTCAGACTGTACAAAGTTGAGTCATCCTGTTTTGACTATGAATGAACAGGGCATCTCTCAATGTCAGTACAGGGGAATCCCAGTGGTACTTGTAATGCAGGAAATTTCAACTGTGAAGTTAAAGTGTCATTTTAAAAGTCTCCTTTTTCTGAGTAGAAATGTAATGATTCCTCCCTTCATGATTTTTCCTTCCCCTTAAGGTATTTTTAGGGACCAGTGTGAAATGAGTTTCATTATCTCAACCCTTTGCTCCTTTTTGTCTGAACCAATGCACCACTACAGTGGTGGCAGTGTCCTTTGGCCCACGGCTGACATCATCTGCTGAGAGTCTCTGGTCTAGTCTGTGCTGCCTCTGCAAGTTCCCTCATGAGTGTGAAAAGGAAATTCTGCTCCTGAATTTGAGGGAATGAAGGAACAATGCAGTTTGATGGATCCCACTGATATGGTTCACTATTTCTATTGAGATGCTTGATTCCATTTTCACAAAATCATAAAAGATTCTGAGAACTCAGGTCTCGGAATTTTTCTGGCCATGCAGAAGTTTGAAGAAATTCTCCCTAATTTATGTCTCTGTCTTTGAATCCTACCAGTGTAGAGTTCACAGGTGTCAGAATGGCTGAAGTAGATCTTAAACAGAGTTCATGCCTTAAATTAAACTTGAACCAAACCCTGCTCTAACTGCCAAGTTCTAAGAAGAGCATGATCTTTTGGCTGGTGGGACCAAAGGTGTCCAGCTGGGATACTCCTGTCACTGATTCAAGAAGTGGCTGCTACTTATCACCGTGGAAGAACAAAAGTCATGTAAACTTGGCTCTGAGGCAGCCACAGAGGCAGCACTTACTGACCTGGCAGGAGTGCCAAGATGCTGGAGTGGCTGGGAACAGATCCAAGCTCTGCTGAGCCAAAGCCCAAAGCACGCTCCTTTCCACCAGTCTCAACACTTGTAAACATCACAACAGCTGCTGGACGAGGCACCTTGTACAGAAAACAAGTTAATTGTATGTAATCAATGAAGAGGTGGTACTGGCAAAGTTGGTCCTTTGTGTTTTATAATATTCACACCACAGTTCATTTGGGTTATTATTTCTTTATTAAAACCTTTCTTAGTTTTGTAGTTGTGTTCCACCAGCACTGTGCTTTCTGCAGCTGCAGCACAAGGACTCCAGGATATTTATACCTACAGTACTTCGAGGCAGTGGAGTATATTAAATTTCAACTCAGTGGAGATTTATTGTGTTTGAATGAACATTGCCTACAGTATAATAATTCACAGAGATATGAGGAAACATGCTACAGGTACAAGAATTTGCATTTCATAGTTTGGGATTGTAACCGATACAGAAGGTGGCAGAAACCAGAGGCTCCACTGTGGGACTCTGCTGAAGGTCATTTTTGCTTAGGATAGATACTGCCTGGATTGTGGAATAGCAGATCCAAGCTGGTGGTGTCTGACTCAAAAGAAATGCAAACAGTTCAACTGCTTTCACAGTAAATATTTGCCAGAATACAAAAGCTGAAATTTTGTCTTGTTCATGGTTATTTTTATTTGCTTTCTAGTAAATGACTGTGAGATGAGAACATGCATTAAATTAATGAATTTTAAACAGAGACCAAATAATACGTCTTACATGTAGTATAGTGCATTATTTTAATACAAATAAATACATTACTTTAAAATACAAGGAATGGAAGCCTAGGAGGGATATTTGTAGACCCACAGAATAGTGAAAACTCCATGCAATTTGTCACAAAGCATACAAGGCAAGTCTCTGTACATCAAATGATGTATTTGATATTAAGATATCAAAGCAAATATCTCTTCCTCTTCAGTCAAAGGTTACCTAAAGACAACCTCCCTCTCTGTGTTAAGATATTACTCTCTTCTTGGGTCTTTAAATTAGTTAGACACAAAGTAAGGAAAGATAGGCCTTTGAGAGCCAAGAAAGTCCATGACTTCTAGATAAAGATTAAGTAAGTTTTCGAATTCTGTTGTGAAAAAAGAGTCATTGACACTTTCTGTGCCTTGGCCATCTCTGTCTGGATCCCCAACATCAGGCAAAAGCTGTCCTTCATTTTTTTGGTGCTAAGGACAGTGGAGAAGCTCCCATGGACTTGAGGCTGGATTTGGGCCTTTGCAAGTGATCAATATTTAGTTTTAGAAGTGACTATGCTGCTTTCTAAATAGTTAGACCCATTTGTATTTATAAATATTTGTTATACGGGAAGATCTCATTCAAAGCAGGTCATTGGAAGTGGCAGGTGCTCACCTCACTGCAAGCCCTTCTATGACTCTTACCCATACAGAAACAGTCAGTAAAAAAGCACCAATTTATTGGGAAAATCCCAACCCCCACCTCCTTGCCAGCCTCTGCTATTAAGAAGAGTAAAATAAAGAGTAGCTGACATTGAATAAGATTGAAAAAGAGGAAAAAATATGCTCCCAGCAGGCAAAATACTGATGACATTCTCAATAATAATGAAACATAAAATCACAGTGGGGCAAAACTGAAATTCATTTTGCATGTCAAAGCATTGGTTGCATTTAATTTGTTTGGGATATTTTACTAGGCTTTGATTTCTTACAGAATAAGTTCAAGGTTATGAAAAGTTTTGCTAGGACTAAACACTCATAAGGCTTTGAGACAAAAGAGAATAAAGCAGAGGAAGGTCTTCCAATTCAGTTTTGATTGATGAAGTCTTTCATGAAAAATCCTCTTTCTCCTTCTCAGTTTTGCTTTGAATTCATCTTTCAGAAACTAAGGGGCAGTATGAAAAACAATACTCTGACAGCTATATTTTCTTTTTAGAGTCCTCACTCACCTTTATTCCAAATGTGTCAGTTTGAATTTGTCTAAATGGTTCCCAAATGCTACAGCAGGACATAAATATCTGCAGTCTTGAGCTGAATTTGACTTTGCTCCTTGCTTAATCATTGCCTTGTAAGCTTTAAACAACCTGATTTTGGTCAAATCTGTAGAAGAGCAACTTCATTTTGACTCCTGATATGAAAAATCAGTAACAGGAAAACTTCAAAAGCTTCTGAAAGGCCATGATAAACCTTTAGGGGTGTTTATATTAAGGGACTTCATGCAGGTTTGTGGTAATGATATGTAATGTACGTTTGGGTAAATATTTCAGAAGTATGTGTAAGGGTTTCTGATGATATATAATGTAAGTTTGAGTCAATATCCTGGAACTATAAATCTAGAGAAACTGCAACTTTGTAAGTAAAAGAAAAGGGGGAATTGTGGATGGGTGGAATGTAAGAAAATAGAGATAGTGATGAAGGTAATCTCACCCCTAAGGAGTTATAGCTGTGCTAATTGTCAAGAATTAGGAACAGGCCTGCCCTTAATAGGCCACAGCCAGATCCAGTTGGGATAGGTATTGTAAAAGAGTAGGTTGGCTGGTCAAGGATGGGGTTTGTTGGCTGTGCAGAGAAGAAGGTGTCAGTATTGTGATGATCTGGTCATGAGAAATCACCAAGAAGGTATGAAACCTTTGCAATAAGATGGTAGAACATGTTCTCATGATGTGTCCATAGTTTGGAGAGAGAGGAATAAAGGAGGGAAAGGGGGTACAGAACTGTCTCCAGGCATGGGACTGCCTTTCCCTGTGCAGTCAGATGTCCTGATGTGCCTTGGGCTGGCTTTCAGCCCCATGGTAGTGAGGGTGTGGGGTTGCTGAGGGGAACCATGCTGCATCAAGGGAAATATAGGTTGGATATTAGGAAAAAGTTTTTTATAGAAAGAGTGAGAAAGTTCTGGAATGGTTTGCCTGGGGAGGTGGTGGAGTCACCATCCCTGGATGTGTTTAGAAAAAGACTGGATGGGGTACTTAAAGCCATGGTTTAGTTGAGGTGTTGGGGCATGGGTTGGACTTGATCTTTGAGGTCTCTTCCAACCCAGTGATTCTGCGAACCACCATGGGTCTGTGCATGATATGTCCCAGTTTTGGCCTTTTGGATCTCCTGCATTTTCTCCACTAGATGTCTGTGTGTCCTCTCCAGAGCCTCCAGCTGCAGCTGAGAAAGTCTTGCCAAACAACTCTTTCCCCTCAGTTTTGAAGGAAAAGAAGTTCAAAACACTGCTCCCTTTCTTGGTGCAATTTTGGACTGATATTCAATATTGGTGTGGTTAAAATAGCTCTCTGCTTTCCAGAATTTCAAAGAAAAGAAACAAAGATATTCCCCCCTGCCCCAAACCATTAGGATGAATGACTGACAGCTGCCTTAGCTTTTGCTCAGAAAAAAATACCAAAACCAAATAACTTCAGTTTTCCAGTGTGAAGAGAAGGTGTTATGATGGGAACTTTCAAACTAAATGGTTTATATGACCCAGTTATTCCTCCACCCCATTTTCTTTACCTTTTGGAATTTAAAACTAAAACAATCAACCAATTGCTTTTCTGAAGATACACAAGCAGCAAAAAAACCATGAACCAAAGTCATAACAGCTTGTGAGGAAACAGCCATGTTGAAATGCATGTTTCCACTCACACAGGGCCCTCTGCCAGTGAACACAGCCCTGGCTGGCCAGCACAGGATGGTGTGGAGGTTGCCATGAGGCCCCTTTGCTCCTCCTTGCCTGTTGCCCCTGGTCCCATGGAAAAGCAGAGGTTAATCACAGCTCATCGAAGTGGGGTCATCCTCAGGCTGCCCCAGAGCTGCGTGGCTGGGCCTGTACAGCGCCCTCACAGATAAACAAATTCAAATTACAAGTTTATACTATTTTAGGTTTTTAAGCTCATGCTTAGTCAGGGTACATTCAGCAAAAATTTATGAAGTTTTTGTTTTCAAATGAGGTGGGAATGAAAAATTTGCACTGGTATGACTCCAGGAGCATTAATCAAGGAAGAAATATATTTTTTTAATTCTTTTTTGAGTTTCTAATCTAGAAAGAAAATGAATGCAGGTAGATTTGATGATTTACAAACATCTGTCTTTTCATTTAAATTGCATTCACACAGCAGATACTGAAACATTTGTTTCGTGGGGTTTTTTTTTAATTTTTATTTTTATTTAAAAAGCCTTACTGCATTTTGGTGATTTGTTAAAAAGCAGAAATAACCAATTTAATGAAAACTGTTAAGTGTGAAAAACCAATGAACTGCAAAGTGCAATAAATCATTTCTCCAAAGAAGTTCACCTATCTCAATTTTACTCTCTCTTATGCTGGCTGCAATGCTGAGTGTAACTACTGAGGAACAAAGTTATTTCATAGGTTCTTTTATTAACAAGAACACAATATGACCCACTAAATAACAGAAAAATATTGACATTTCTTTTATGATCTAAGGGAAATAATTTTGAAAATATAGCACTTTACAGAGGTAATGTTTATATAAAGGTCAGAAATGCATTTAATGAAATTCTCATCTACTAAAACTTCTGAACTGATGTAACTATAATATTGTCTTTTTTAAAAATAGAAACTCTGATTAAAAAGGAAATATTTTGGAAAATTAATTCTTAAAGTGTGAGGGATGGTGGAAGAGATTTCCTGGTTTTACCAAAGAGCTGAGTGAATAATGAAACAAAATTAATCTATTGTTAATCAGTGTGAGAACTAAAAAGGGATTGCCCAAATTAACTCACAACTCATTTTAAGTGTTGAAAACCTGAAGGGATGCTAGTCTGAGAGCAGGTATTTAGAGAAGAGAATTAATCTCTGCTCAAATCAATGAAAGTTTTGTCTTATCAAAGGCAGGAAGGACATTTTAATGTTAAGTGAGTAAAGAAGACACACACCCCCCACAAGTTCCAGAGGTGGAATTATATGCAGAAAATAACTAGCAAGTGGTTTTGAATAATGAATGCATTCAAGAAACTAATGATCCTTAATGGAACTAAGATTTCAACCATGGCATTCATAGGAATATTGGTGACATCAACATGTGGAGATCAATTGATGTCATTTGAATTTATTAGCCACTGTCTTCATCACATCTTTTCTTTTAAGAAAGATGTTAAAAAAAAACAATGACTGAAGATTGTAGTAAAAGAAAAAAAACCCCAAAAACAAATCCAAAAGCCTTTGTAATTCTCATTTAAGCATTTTTATTTTTTTGGAATTTGATCAAAGTCCATAAAAATTAAAGTGGTCGAAGGAAATTATTCAAATTAAGAAAACTGAGCAGATAATAAGGTGCAGCTTAGTTTTAAGTTGTCTTTTAGAAATGGCAGTGACAGATTATTATCAAACAGTGCTGTATGTCACTAAGCAGAGTAGGACCAGCATGCATCTTCTGGTGGTCACACTTTTTTTGTTTGACACATAATTCTCTTTAGTGAATCTTTAGTAATCATCTCTTGCTAAAACCTGAAGACTCAAACACTTCCTAGATGATTTCTGCCCCCATATCCAAAATCTGATATGAGGAGATCACAGGTTAGTCCCAGAGTAAGTAAAATCCAATGGGATCCACTCAGCAGGCACAATTCTGTGTTTGGGTAGAGAGAAGCACTGTGGCTTCACCTGGAGATGCACAGGGCAGCCCTCACCATGCCAGGACATCATTTGACAAAAAAACCCCATTTTCTAATATCACAACTATTGCAAGGAACCAAGTGATTTTACTCTAGGTTTAACAGCCCTGGATGGAGGTGACCCATTGGACTGGAAGCTGGGGCTGGTCAGAGAGAAGAACTCTTGGCCCCCCACACCCACAGAGCAAACAGGAGGTAGAAGTAATAATTGTACTTGCAAAGACACACACAGATAAAAGGCTGCAAAGAAAATCCAGCTTCACCAGGTAAAAGGAAAATCATTAGCTGAACCATTTGAAGGAATAGAAAAAAGAATGAGAAGGAAAATCAAGAGCTTTTTTAATTTTAGAAACCGACAAATCAGGAAAAACAATGACTTTGGCTAAAAGCTCATTCTAGTTTAATGTGCAAGGGAGGCAGTTAAATTTTTTTTTCAAAGCAATTTATAGTTAACATTGAAAAAGGGAAACAGATGGCAATCAATAACCCTGGGAAATTGTGATGTGCAAAAAAAAGTAAGAGGAGGCTACAAATATTAGAGAAAAATCTATGCTTGTAAGTCATACAGAATCTTTCCTTGTCAGTTATATTAGGTATGAAAATCCCCGCAAAAGATATTACTTTTGTTGGTAGAGAGAGATAATGAAATGTTTTTTGGTGCAGAGAAGGCCAAATTTTTTCAAAGACAACTTTTGTCTGGTAGCTGGGAAAATGCAAGTGATGAGTTTATCACACAAAGATGAAGAACTTTCTAATCCATGAATAAAATGAGAATGTTAGGCAATTTCTTTTGGAGAATATTTTCTATCTGATAACAGAGTCTAGGAGTTGAAAAAAAAAGAAAAAATATTATAACAGAGGAGCATCTGTCTACCTGATCTTAGTGTGCAATTAACTTTAGCTGGCTAGGGAAACTGCAGAAGGGAAAGACAGTGCTAGTGTTGGACTGATATTAAAAACAAAACAACCCAAATATGATGAGCTGGTAGCTGAAATGAAATAGCAGCTCAAATAATTGGTCTGCTTGGCTAACCCCATATGGCTCACAGGTACACTGGTGGGAGGGATATACTATGTTTTCTGGAAATAAATACTGAAAAAACAGGAATATAATTGCCCACAATTAAAGTTGATTTTTGCTAAACTTTAGGGAGTTCATGATAAGAAATCATTTTGAAGTGAAAGAATAGGGGAATAAAACCAAGCATTCTCTTTTTGAGAGTCATGAATAGAAATGCTTGCAAGTGGATGAGAAGTCTGATAAGAAAGATGTCCCTTCATCACCTCAGACAAAGGTTAAGCAAGAACCAACATTGGGAAGTTTGAAGAAAACTTTAGAGAATGTAAAGCATATTTTATTTAGACAAGAATATTGATGGTTTCAAATACTGAAAGTTGTGATTGGTGTATCAGCAACTCTACTTGGAAAAGTGAATTGTTTTGTAAAAAAAGAACTGAAGAGTTTGTGTGCTGCATGAATTTCAGCAAGATGGATACAAGCTGCAGCTGATTAAAAGCTTTATCTGCTCTCTTCCCTGTGTTCCTGAGTAGGTGGAAATTTGTTTGTGCTTTTTATAAACTGCATTCACATAGAGAAAAAAATAGGAGATATTAAGAACCTCTTTTTGCCTGAAGGAGAGATGCACCACAAGAAGCAAAGGCTGAAGTTGAATTAAGACTCAAAAGAAGCTTTTCAGAATACATGGTAATGGTGATTAACTACTGGAACAAAGTACAAGGAAAGGGATAGAGACAAAGTCTCTTCAGATTTTACAGCAAAGTCTGAGAGCTTTTATAGCAGACAAGCTTTAATCTGAGACAAAGAATGCTTTAGTTAAATACAAGTTATTGGACTCAGGGCTGGATAATTGGGTGGCCTGAGATATTTCAATAAGAAAACAGAGATGTCTTTTGATCTTTCTCTTGTGAATCTGTAAGTTGAATTCTATGTGACTCCTATTGCAGAATGTCACCAATTTACTGCTACACTGAGACCCATAAGACGTTTTCTTAAAAAATTAATTTTCAGTCAAGGGCTGTTTTTATTCAGAAAAACTTCATAAAATGCAGACTAGTTAGGAACTTGCTTTTTCTAAAATTTATCAGCTTATTCTAAACTTTTTGTCATCAGTCCTTGTTAGACTGTCCTCTGGCTGGTAAAAAATGCCTTTATTATCCAGGAATACTCTTTATGCTTCTCTGGAAGTATTTTGTCACTTTTACACTTCCTTTTTTCACAGTTTTGGTGCATATTAATGGACATTCAAGTTACAAAATAGAACTTCTCAATGGGAGCAGGCATTTTATCAGGGTATAGGTAAAAAAAAAATTTCAGGAGGTGCAGACTGGGGCTGAAGACAAGGTGAAGATGTAGGTTTATTACTGTATTGAAAGATTTGCATCTTGGGAAACTTTCCTATTGTTCAGCAAAAAAACCAAGATGAAAGCTTTGAAATGTGTTAATTCCATCCCCACTGAGAGATGCAGCAGGGCTCCCATGTAAATGAAAGGAAGTGTTGGAGCAGGACACATCACAGCTTTGTATTCCAAACGAAAATGTTATCTTCCTTTTTTTTCACTTGCTTGGTGTCTTGTCTTCTCATTTACATCAGTGCAGAGTGCAGTGTAGGTACAAAACAACATTAGGTCAGATTTTTCCACTCTTTTATATCAGTTTAGCATCTGGCAACCTATTTATATTAGTTTTACATAGTACAAATGAGTGTGTTTATGCAACAGAAACTGCAGAGGTGCTCCCAATAAGCTTCCATTTCTTAAAAAAAATTCATAGAGTTCTCATTAATATTATCCAGGTATGTTAAATTACCCCCTTAATGTGTTTTGCTGTAGAAAATATACAATGTAGTGCTTTCTATTATCTGTTGATGTAAAACAAAATTACTGACTTTACATCCTACGCTCAATACTATGAATATTCAGGTAGAGCTCATCTTCATCTCTTGTGACTTCACATCACCTCTATGGACTTTAGTGGATCCAGAAATAGTATGGTCTAGCCCCCTCCTTGGAACTAAGTTCCTTATGGCCTCAGATATTTGGTATATTTACAGTTGTAAATATTTCTATGTTCCAGACATTTAGTATATATTTAAAAGATAATGAGGCAAAACAATTGTGCAATGTGCTATCATGAAGTACCCCCCTCACTCTCATAGCCCACCCATCAGCTTGCTGTAAGCTTGATCAGTTCCTTAAGAATGATGAATTGTGATAAAATGTGCCATCTTCCATTCTGCCAGATGCTCTGAAAAGCCTGTTAAAAGTCTATAAAACAAGCAAAATAAGTTCAGTTACGCTCTGCACTTTTCAAGCACTGCTGCTAGCACAAAAATTGATTGATTGTGCTTTGTGCTGGTCTAAATCTAGCCTGTTCACCTGCAAAACACTGCTCTCTTGTACTTTTTTTGTTACCCTCAGCAACATTCACGCAAAAAGCAGGGAAAGCTTTTCCTGGTACAGGGATTTCTCTGTAAGTCTGGTACTTTCTTGCCTCTTTTCTCCTCTGTGTGCTAATCCCATTAAACGATTCCCTCCTTGCCTTAGCAGCGTGTCCCCCAGCTGTCAGCCATGTCCTGCTGCTCCTCTGCCGCTTTTCTGCACAAAGCTGGAACTTGTCACATCCCTCCTGGCCCAGAGGTGAGTGTGTAGAGGGACAGGGATTTGATGGCTCCCTCGGAATTTAGCAGGAGCTCTCCTGGCTGCATCAATGCAGGGTGCTCAGGGCAGTGATGTCAGGAAACACAAGGAGCAGCCTAATCTTGGGAAATCAAAGTCTTGCCTTGGTGGTTGGTAGAAAAATGAAGCAGCTGTGGTTTTTTTTTTTTTTGGCAGGAAGGAATGTAAAGAATGCATTTGTCTCAGCTATAATTGCTACAAGAAGTAAGGCTTGTAAGCGTGTTGAAAATTTTGAGACAAACAATTTTCAGGAAACATGTAATATAGAACCATTAAACCCAAAAGTGGTTTGGGCAATTGCGAAGCTAATAGGAAACCAAAGGTGGGTCCTGCCACAGATGTGTAGATATTATGGAGACAACACCTTTGCATCACTGCTGAAAGATGAGTGAATATTCAAGATATCTGGAGGAAGTGAAAGAGAGATTATGGTACAGTTGGAGTTCTGGCCACCAGCCACAATGAGAAAACCAAGGTGAAGGACAACAGTCTAACTTCTAGTGAATGGGAGGAATGGAAGCTGGGGGATAAGGAAAGGAGGAATCCAGTAGTCTAATAATGGGCAATTGAACAAAGTAAAGAAAGAGGAGAGGATTGAATTAAGGTAAGAAATGTAGAAGGACACAAAAATAAATTTAAATTAGTGTCTGCAAGAGAGCTGGTGGGGAGTGTTCAAGTTTAAGATGTTGATGATAGTGAAAAAGAGCAGGCAAACAGCTGAGCCCCAGTAAGCAAAGTTGCAGGTTTGATGACAGAAATGTTGTTCTGAAGAGCTTGTGAGGGCCTGAGTGGTCCTGGGGAAGCAGAGGAGAGAAGTGTACCAGGTGCAAGAGAATAAACTTTAAAATTTAAAAGGTAATAAACAGCCTTTGGAAAAGAGGAAGGGTAATAGAGATTACGAAGAGCCACAGAGATTCTGCAAGCAGACCGTGAGCATATGGTGAAGACATAAACAAGGTGCTGAGCAAGATTAACCAACGTGAGCAAGGATTGCTTCCAAGAGACATGTCACATTCCTTGGAGCAGAAAACCCTGGAGGTGTTTTGCATGTCTGGGAAAATGTCTTGTGTGTGCCTGGCTGTACAAATAGTAATTCAGCATAATCATAGAATACTTTGAGTTAGGATAAAAGCCATCTGGTCCAACCCCCTTGCAATGGGCAGGGACATCTTCAGTTACAGCAGGCTGCTCAGAGCCCTGTCCAACCTGACCTTGACTGTTTCCTGGTATATTCCCACAGAAGTGTTCCCAGTGTGGGCTGAGGGGCAGTTTTGCACTGCCCTGCTCTCTGCTGGCCCGTGTACTGCAGCATACAGCTGCTAGTGGATGGTTTGGTGTCTCCACCTCAGTTACCACAGCCAAACCCACTTCTCTTGGCACTCCTGCCCCTGCAGGCTGCTGATTACAGTTGTTTTTTCATAGCCTAGTCCCAAGAGTTTTTGGTCGTGTCTGAGGAGACTGAGGGTTGGCCTCAGGCAGAGATCTGGCATAGGTTCTCTTAATGGGTGTGAATAAAAGTAATAGAGATGTCTTTCAAACAAGTGAAAGGCAGTTGCCAACAATCAAAATGCCTGAAAACAATCTCAGTCTCCCCCCGACCTCACAAAATGCCTGTGCACGTCTGTAACAGTGCCAGGGTTGCCTCCACTATCAAATAGTCCATGGAGAGTTACTCTTTCCAAGGGAGTGTTACAGCTCAATTTCATTTCCCTTCTCTAGCCTGAGTGAGGCTGAAGGGTGGTGAAATGCTTCCCAAGGGGGTCAGCAGCTTTCTGAAGACAGGATTTAAAATGCTGCATCTTCAGCACGTGTTTTAATAAACAATGTAAGGCCATTTTATCAGTAAGGTATGGGAACCTTATTGGCTGCTTGAATATATTTGGTTATCAGCAGAATTCAGTCAACCTTCCCTTTTTCTTCATCTGTCTCTGTCACTTGCACAAAAATGCAAAACCCACAAGACTGAAAATTATTTTGGCTGCAAAAATGTGTTTACATTTCTGTGCCCTCACTTTCATTAGTTTTCCCAAGAATTCAAAAAATTTTGCAGCAGTCACTGGGGACATTTCAAGCTGTTAGTTAAGCAGAGGCTTGAGTTCTGTCAAGAGCAATCTATACGTTAAGCCTCTGGCATAATTTCTGCTCCAAATGAGAAATGCCCTTGAAGACCAAGGTTTAAGGTCAAAACTACTGCTGCTTACACCTGATCTCACTCCTCCAGTGGTTTTGTCCTGTTCAGAAGCAGGGTATGAGAGAAGCCATATGAGTTCTTCAGTGCTCCTGTGTCTTTCAGTGTCACCCCAAGGTACCTCTTGGTAGGTGGTGCCTCTGGGGGCTTTGCCAGGTGGTTGGTCCCTGCAGTCCCAGATCACTCTGCTAAGAACAGTTTTATGTGATAGTCTTGTCCCAAATACCCAGTGAGACTCAGTTATTTTTTAGCTAAGCAGTCCTTTTGTCAGGAACTTGCCATCTGCATCTGAAGTTAACATGTACTTCATAAAGAAATTATAACAAACATACTGATTATGGAAAGATAATAATAAACACATAATTATAGTATATGATATCTATACTATAGAGATATAATTAAAAATTATAATCGTAAATAGTGGTAGCATTCCCTGTTCCCCCTCAGACACTCCATTTACCACAGAGCCGCATTCTGCTTCCAAAAAATAGAGCTAGCTCTTCATCTCTCAACAATGGATACATGCTGACAGGTAAAAGAGGATTTTGGTTTTATCTAGATGGTGTGAGGTGTACAGCACAGAAAAGGAATCAGAGATTGATATCTGTTCAAAGGCATTATAAAAGGAAGAAAAGCAGGGCAATTATCCAGGATAAATATGTCACACACCCATGCCAAAAAAAAGGGTATGTAAGCACACCATGAAAGACCCATCTAATCAGAACTTCAAACTCTCAGTTCTGGTGCAAAAATTACCTTGAATAAGAATCAAATGGATAAAGGAGTGGATCATTGGTGCTTGTGATGAGAGACTGTTGTTGCAGAAAGCCTCCATCTAGATCAAAATGACATTATGATTTGTGCTGTCTTTCTGGTGGCATTCTCAGTAAATTTCAACTAAATACAGGAAAACAAACCCTTCCATCTGTCCCAGGCCATGAACTTGTTCCCATGGCTGTGAGGTTGGCAGAATTATTTTCAGCGTAACTTTTTGGGGGTACGTGGGTTGGGCAGTTTCTTTATATATTTTTGTGGTTAAGGTGTTCTAAACAGGGAAGGATTGCTTTGCTTTTCTCAGGGAATTGGATATGGAGTTAATGCCTAATCACACTTAGCAATTTGATACTCCTCAGTAATCAGTCTCCTGCTAATTTATGAAGACCTAATCTATCAGTCATTTTAAATCACTTTACATTCACATTAAAAGATAAAAATTTTAAAAAATTAAAATAGTTTTTACCTAATAAAAGACATTTCTCGGTGCCACAAGCTGATACTTATCAAATAATATGCTAGACAATTATCTCTTCTAGATTTTTTTTTCCCCTACATGTAGCCAACAACAAATTCTGGGCATGCTCTTATCTCATATGTCTATTTTTTTCTAAGGCTGAATGATCAGACAGACCATGCTGCAAAGTTGGAGGTTGGATCTGAAACCTTTGGAGGAATGTTAGAACTGATATTCTGCTTCCAGCCTTAATCAACACCCTCAAAGATTCAGCAGATACTACAAAACTAGGGTTTGTATCTGCATCTTTCAGGAGCCTGTCCCAGTTCTGGCCTCTATGCTGTGAGCATCCTTAAAAGATACATCAAACAGCACAACATGAGTTCAAAGAACTTTGCTTGTAACTGCAATGAATCTGAAATGTACTGATGAAAGATTTATTAATGTCATGCAAGGTAGAGTGTCCTCCTGTTAGCAGAGACCTTCTGAATCGCTGAGTGAACAGGTCATCAAAGGGAAATCAGCGCGGTAATTGGAGCAGCATTCTTGAGCCTAATTGGACAGAGGTTAAGTCTGTGTCTGAGCAGAGTGTTGGGTAATGACAAGGACACAAATAAAGCAGCAGTAATGGGGGCCTTTCTGCTGTTGCAGGGAACAGGGAGGTGTGGCTCAGGCTGAGGTTGGTACCTCCCTGGAATCTTCATCTGCAGCTGAAATTTCCACTGGACTCCAGCCAAGATGTGCAGACAAAGCAATTTTCCCTGGGGAGAGACAAACCTTGTATTTTTGTGCTTTTGGAGATGCTGGGATAGAAACAGTGAAAATTATGACTCAGAAAATGTGCTGGGATACTTTTCTAGTGTGCAGAAACACACAGCTAAACCTAAAGCATTCTGAAGGCCTTGATCATGCTGTCCCTTCAGATATTAGAAGATTTTGGGGGTTGAAAGGGTGGGGATACTCAATAAAATAATGAAAGCAATATACAGAATAGTCCATTGCTTCTGGGATCCTCAGAAATATTATTCTGGGCTTTGACCCACCACTGCAGAATTTCTACAGCCTCAAATACTCAAAGGTGATTTTTGCATTGCTATAGTACATTATACTAAAATTTCATTTAGCAGTCTGAATTTAATTTCTGCTCTTATCTCTAAGTCTGAAAAGCAAGTTAATGGTATTGCCTAGTATTCAGCAGGGTGAAATACTTTGAAGTGTCTAACAATACCTTCTTCTGGCTAAAAGTGTTCTGACCTTGCACCTCAGGTTTTGAAGCCTTTTTTTCTAAGGCTTTTGAAAGATGTAATTTTATTCTATACATTTTGTTTAGAGTGGCTAACTCATGTACTGTAACTGTACCTTCTTTCCCAGGCATCGTTTGTCTTCTGCCTTTTATCCCAAAGGCATGAGCCATGTCCATGGCACAGCATCTGACCCTTGTCTGCCTGATCCTGCCTCCACTCTGGTTCCTTGTTACACTTTCAAGAACATTTCTTCTCACTGTCTCCCAAGCTCTCACTTTCTCCTCAGTTCTTCTGTTTCTCCTCCCATTTTGAAGGATCATTGTGGTCACCCATGGGGCTTATTGAGGAGCTGGTGGAAAAGTCATTTTGTTGGACTTCAAATTTTTTTATCCAATCTCATCTGTCACAATGGCCAAAACACTTAATATTAGGCCGTTGATGGATTGATTTTACCTTCTTTGGTGAAAGAGCAAGCTGACCTTGCACGTATTTTCTTTGTCTTTACTACACCCAACTCTGACAGGCCAATATTGAGGCACTTCTGCCTGCTACTATCAGCCACAGAAAATGCTTCATTGATTTGTACAGCACGGGTTCTTGGTTCTGAATGTAAGCTTCAGCTGATAAAGGCTCTGGAAGTAGAGTGCTATTAGGCTATAAATGAAAGCTCATCACATGCTGACATTCATCCCTCTCTGTAAGGCAGATTGGCATGGTAACACAGCAGGTGTTCTTGTTTTGGATTCAAAGAAATCTAAAAAAACAAAAGTAAAAATTAAAAACTCGTGTATAAGAAATTAACAACAAAAACAAAAAGAAGCAGCAGTCAGGCATGAATTTTTCAGAGCACTGTTTGGTTAACCCCAGCTTTAAAAAATCATCAGTTATTTTTACATGGTAGAAAAATTCTCTATGATGAATATTTACCAAAGGAAGTTGCAGACACTCACTATCCAAAATCTCCCACCCTGTTGCTCAAATAAATTCTGTTAAGGGTAAAAGAAATACAAAATTAATGCATATTTTCTTACACTAGAAGGAATAAGTAAATTCCACCTACCTCCCTGATGGCATGGAGAATTAAATGGCTCAAAGATCCTTACCCAGACACTATGGCTTGGGATGGTCCCCACAAGTGTGCATCAACCTTACTCCAGAATTATATGTATTATATGTATTATAATTATTGTTGCCACCAAAGCTCCTGGTATAAAGAATTTGCAAGGTCCTTGTTTAATTGCTGTTTAACACTTTGTCCTTGCATTTTTCCAGTTTTGCACCTGGTACCTTGTAGCTCACCCAGCTCCCCATGCAGACACTTGCATGTGCAGGTGTGCCAGGCCATGGATAAAGCAAGGAAGGGATGAGATGGCTGGAGAGTGGCTGTGCAGGAATGTGTAACATGATGGGCTATGAGTGCACCTGTACCTGTTTACTCCAGTGGGGGAGAATGGGCCTAACAGCCACGTCCATCATCTGCAAAAGCACTAATTAAGTTGAGCAATGCTAGCTGTGAACTTGGCTTACTGCTTAGACTGCCCCCAAATGGGATATTGCAGCTACCAGCAGCTCTCTCTAATCCATGTGAATTTAGACACAGCCACAGCTGCTGTAAATACCACACAATGCTTCTTGCTCTCAGGGTCTGCTTTGTTCTCCTTTTCACTTAATTTGAATAAGCCAGTTTATTTCTGTGCTGCAACATGGCTGAATCTTGGTTGCTGAACTTCCCTGGCATGGCTGCACTACTTGCTTCTTTAGGAAGGTTTTCCAACAGCCCTAGGAATTCTGACTTAACAGGGCTGCCTTTCAAGTTAGTTAAACATTTGTCTATCCGCTTGCTGACGTCTTTTTTCATCAGTGATATATCTAGAAAATCCTGCATTGCACTGCCCTAAACAAAATCATATCTAGACATGATACTACTGAAACCAAAGGGAAGCTGGTGAAAAAAAAATCTGGTCTGTCATAACTGATACAATAGACAGTGAGACTTTGTTTAGAGAATCTGAACTGTGCTCATAACACAACAATAATATTGTTAAAATATAAAGATTCCATTCAATACAGAAAGAAAAACTTGTAAATCATCAGTGGTGGTTTTGTCTAATTTTTACATCTGGAAAAAATAACCCTGTTCATTTTCATAATTGAAGAAATATCCTCACTCCTTGTAGTGCCTGACACTTCTTCCTCTTTTTTGTCTTTTTGGGTGTGCGGGAAAGATTTCTCGATAGCAATTTAATTATGGAGAGAAGTTGTTTCTCACTTTCCATGTGGATGCTGTCTTGATGGTCTCCTGCACACTTTTTTCCAGACTTTTTTCAGTGTGAGGCTGTGTGAGATCAGCCACAAACAGGGAGAACATTTAGCCCATTCTACCACACCTCGTGGAGCAGGGCTTCACTAGTAGAACAGACTTTTCCCAGTGGCACTCAGATGATTTATATAGCTGGTGAAACTCCCTGTGTTTCAGTCAATGTCTCAGAGTGAGAATACATCATTCAGAACACGCATGAAATATTAAGTTCTGAATTCTTGCAGGTGTTAAAGACTTCAAAATATCTGCACACAGAAGTTAATGCTGTAGATTAAGTTTTGCTCTATGAGCAGGATTCAGGATATGATGGGGTGTTTTCTCAGATTCTTCCTTTGCAGCTAAATATATACTGCAAAATTCTTCTTCCTCCATCTGCTCAGAACAATTAAAACAGCTATAATGCCCCTGCCCCACATATAGTGCATTTCGTGAGTGGGAAGAAAATGCTGCATATGCCCATTATTCTCTACTTTTTGATAGCAAGATTGATCAGTATTGATTATCCAAGTGGCAACATGGAGATTTGTTATGCTGCAGAAGTGTTGTGGAAAAACCCAAGTTTTCCTTTAAGTGAGAAACAAGGAGATGATGGATACCTCAGCATGACCACAATTAGAGGAAATCATGGTGACAGTGTTTCAAAGATTTCAAAAGCAAAACTGTCAGTCAGCATCCAGTATTCATTCCTGACCTCTGTGAAAATGAAAAAAAAACCAACCCCAAATTACAATACGAATCCTTATTGAAAGATATCAGTGAGGAATCAAACTGGAAACCATGAGACCCAAGATACATCTGCAGCCAAAACAAGGTGTTGGATATGAGAAAAATCTTCCCAGGGTGGTGTTAGATAATTACAGGTAGGTACTGTCAGATTGTTCCAGAGAACTGTGCTAAACTTGCAGAGCTTCTCTGACACAAGACACCTTGCCCTGGGAAAGATGAACTTACTGGTCTAACACAGTTAATGCACTAATTGCACAGTATTGACCCTTATAAAGGCAGTTTTCACCTTACATCAGACTGGAAAACAGTCTTGAGTGTTCCCAGTTGGTAAAAAACAAGTGCAGGGAGGAGATGGCTTTTCTTTCTCTAACCTGTGACGTGTTTTGTCTTGCTAGGATCTGATGTGTTATTAATAAAGGTGCTTTTCTGTGCTGGTTTCCAGCTGAGAAATCCTCCAAGAAAAACAGCTAGAAAAAATTATCTAGAAATGAAGGATCCATCAGATTCCCTCCTGGGACAATTCTGTACCTGTCCATGTAATTATACTAGAGGTGAATTTGTTTAGAAGAGTCTTGTAACTTGCTAACCCCAAAGTAAAACTCTTTAAGAATTATGGGTTCTTACTGCAGCTGGTGAAATGATAGATGCAGAACAAAAACTGAGATATCCCCTCCATTATTTTTGATAAAAATGTCAGACTAAGTTGTTACCAGGACCCATATTCCTTTTTTCTTTTTCAGAAAATAGTATAATATCTATTATTCAGATTTTCTGTCTCATCCTGAGTGCTGTTTTATTATTGCACCCATTGGAATAATAATAGGAAATGGACTAAATGGAAAATAGAGAAAGTGAAATCCCATAATAGCACTAACTAGCAATAACCTCTATAACCAGCCACCACAGGCACTGAAACCTTTTTAATTTCTAACTAGAAAAAGTAGCTTTGCCCTTGTGAATCAATGACATACTCACACAGGGTGGCTGCAATAGGGTACTTCATGTACTCTGGGAGAGAGGAATGAGAGGAGAATGAAAATTGAAAGTAGATGGAAAATCTGTTGACTAGTTTTGAAATATAGCTGCCCAACCATCTTTTTTTATTTAGGCAAAGCAGCTTGTAAGCAGAATTCCCCTCACCGAGGTGTTATTGCTGGCAGCTAAAGCACTGCTCACTGCAGATGCACCTTCTGTGTGTTGCACTTCAAACCTTTTTGGTGAGGGCTGAACATTCTGCTGCCTTCTTTGTTTGAGAGATTTTCTGAAAGATTTTCTGCCAGAAAAGCATTCAAACAGCCCACCAAGGAGAAAAGCCCCAGCTTCAAAATATTCCATGCTTTCCACTATTTAACTTTCAGCTGTACAGAAGGATATAGTCTGTCACAAGGCAGAAAGATGTTACAGAAAACAGGGAGAACACATTTTAAAAGAGTCCATTCAATATAACAGGCAACATTAATTTTTTTTGCCTGTAGAACGTGTGAGGTGAAGGTATTTGAAAGTTGGAGGCAGAGATGTGCATAGTTCAAAGAAGCCCATTATGTTGGTAGATATCTGTGCAATTTTAATGGCTATTCTTACTAATCCTTATCCTTACTGTGGACAATTTTAAACTCTAAACTTTAGAGCTAATATTGAGAAAGGTACAGCTGACCATAAGCCAAATAAACGATACACAATTTG